AGCGTTTCTCATTGCTTGGTAAAATATTGCTTGAATGGAGAGTCTTCCTTTGAATAAAATCAAGGACTCATCAATAACAAGCTTCCTGAAGGGATAAAAGATACAATTCAGCACTTTGTTTCAGGTACATAAACACATTTCTTATCTTATATAACTGTCGCTTCTGTCAGGCCTGGTTTTGTCCTGAAAATGTAACATACGCAAGCAGTATCAGGAAACGATTGACACCTATAATGTCACTAAAAACCTGAGTTGAGAAAATCAGGGCGACTGTTGTCCAGTATGTGGTGACAGGTGCTTAACACATGTGGCATAAGCATTATTGTGGCAAAAAACAGGTACATCTCTGCACAGTTGTTCTCCTTTCCACTTGTGTAGCTGTGATTTTGGTGAGAGAATTGTATTTGCCATGGTGTAGTTCACAGTATGTGTTGGTTCCCTGACAATGATGTTCCATCAGGGTCATCGAAAAAAAGGAAAAAAAATAACTCAAAGCAGGCCAGTTCCACTGGCATGTTCCCAAGTGGACAAGATGGCTTTATTCACATTTATCTTTGTGTTTTCATCAAAGGTCATGGGGACTTGGAACAAACCCGTCACCGTCCTGCCAATCCCCAGATGCGGTCTGCTGGTGGGGTCCCTGGATATTGTACCGTGGTTGTGGCTGTGGCAGGTTGTGTTGGTGCAGGTTGTGGCAGTGGTGGGAGGTGGAGGCTGGTTGTCCTGCTTAGTCAGACCGCGTGGCTAGTAGCGTGGCCCAGGTGATGGTGCACACATGGCCGTGCCACCCTCACTATCACCCACCACTGCCTCCTTCCCTCACTGTCAACCATTCATACCCATCGTTACAATATCGTCCATCTTCACCTATCAGGTCGTGGTGTTGGGCCACTGGACATGCCCCGAGTTTCTCCTTCCCCTTGGACAACATATGAAACACTACCAGACCGCATGCTACGTCGTACATACTGGCGCTTCACTGGGAATATTCACTCTCAGTTCACAGAACTGCTTCAATGACCTTTGAAATCACTATCACTATCACTATCACTATCACTGGGCTATCATCAGGTGTTGTACACACCAAATAGTTTCCTCTTTCGTCCTGTACAGGCGAAGGTGAATGTGAACAAGCCGGCACATTCAGCACCAGAGGGTCGAGGTTGTGGGGTCATCTGGGTTTTCGTCAGTTTGTTTAAAATTTTTAATTACGTTATCCTGGGCACCTTTTTTCCGGTAACACTCACTTGAAAACCCTTGGAATTCACTGTCACTGACATTTTCATCCGCTGTTAGAGCTATCACTTGGGAACAAAAAGACCTCCAATCCGCCGAGGAGTAGGAACTTCTTACTACCGAGAGGCATGGTGAAAATGGACTGAACAACATGGCGTCCACAAATGCACCGCTAGGTCGCCAGATTTCTTTCACAGGGTGACCACACCGACTCACTGATACCCATTCTCTCACCGTGTAGGCTACCAGGCCTTCGGCTAGCGCATTTGAAAGCCGCTAGGAATTTGTGCGTATAATGACGCGGTCAAAACATTGGCTCTAAGACGTATTTATACGTCGCAAACAGTCAAAGGGTTAATACATTTATAGTCCCTCTTTTCCTGCCATAGCTTATCCTTCAACATTATTGCTACTCCTTCTTTAGCCTAACTCTATTTGAAACCCCTGACCTAATCCCCATTTATTCTCACCATTGAAAGCTCTCCCACCCCCTCAGCTTCGTTTCACTTAAAGCCAGGACATCCAGCTTCTTCACATTCATAACATCCACAATCATCTCTTTCTTATCATTTGCACAACATCCACGCACATTCAGACTTCCCACTTTGACAATTTTCTTCTTCTTATTCTTTTTAGTAATCTTTACAGGAAAAGGGATTACTAGCCCATTGTTCCTGGCATTTTAGTTGACTTTTACAACACGCATGGCTTACGGAGGAAAGATTCTATTTTTGCATTTTTTCTTATGACAAGAGTGATCTAGAAGTGTTTCCCCTTATGTAAACAACATTTTCTTTTGTTATAGACTAGAGGTACAGATGAGAAAATGTATCTAACTTATGATGTTATCCCAGAGCAGCAGCTGCTATGTCTACCCCATTCACATAATATGGCAGATATCATTCATTTCAGCGTCATTATTACAGTTCTAGAGTATTTATCGTGTCTCTGATATTAATTTGGAATAAATGTAATAGATAGCCTTTATTACTAATATCAGCATAATTACACGTTTTACTAGTGCCACAGCTAACATCCAATGCCCATGACGACTAACCAGATAATGAATGCTACTGCACGCCTCTCCCTCTTTCATTTAGCTCCTACCACTTCATAACAATGTTAGATAGTAAATTTAATGTATTAAGACAGAAAAATTAAAAAAAAAAATAAAAAATCGGAAAAAAATCGGAAATTTCCTACATGTTCAGATATATATTACTTGCCACGTCATAAAATAATTTTTGTAAAATGACTATAATTCTTTATAGAAACATGGTACAAAGATGATACTTATACCAAAATGTTCCCAGATTCTTAGGCCACTTTTCTGTAAGCTTAACTCATATGTGTATTTTACTTTTTTATTGTTTTTTGTAATATATAAGAGTTATGCAAATTAAAATAGTTATCAAGTTGGAGTTTCATCTTTATTTTATTTTTTCTTTCTAATTTTTTTTTTTAACAAGTCGGTCGTCTCCCACCGAGACAGGGTGACCCAAAAAGAAAGAAAATCTCCAAAAAGAAAATACTTTCATTATCAATCAACACTTTCACCTCACTCACACATAATCACTGTTTTTGCAGAGGTGCTCAGAACACAAGAGTTTACAAGCATATACAGTGGACCCCCGCTTTACGATCACCTCCCAATGTGACCAATTATGTAAGTGTATTTATGTAAGTGCATTTGTATGTGTATGTTTGGGGGTCTGAAATGGACTAATCTAATTCACAATATTCCTTATGGGAACAAATTCGTTCAGTGCTGGCACCTAAACATATTTCTGGATTGAAATAATATCGTAAACCGGAGGTCCACTGTATGTATAAAGATACACAACACATCCCTCAAAACTGCCAATATCTCAAACCCTTCCATTAAAGTGCAGGCATTGTACTTCCCATTTCCAGGACTCAAGTCCGGCTATATAAAAATAACCGGTTTCCCTGAATCCCTTCACTAAATATTACCCTGCTCACACTCCAACAGCTCGTCAGGTCCAAATACCATTCGTCTCCATTCACTATCTAACATGCTCATGCACGCTTGCTGAAAGTCCAAGCCCCTCGCCCACAAAACCTCCTTTACCCCCTCCCTCCAACCTTAAGGGGACAACCCCTACTCCACCTTCCTTCCCCTACAGATTTAAACACTCTCCATGTCATTCTACCTTGATCCATTCTTTCTGAATGACCAAACCACCTCAACAACCCTTCTTCAGCCCTCTGACTAATACTTTTATTAACTCCACACCTTCTCCTAATTTCCGCGCTTAAAATTTTCTGCATAATATTTACACCACACATTGCCCTTAGACAGGACATCTCCACTGCTTCCAACCATCTCCTCGCTGCAGCATTTACAACCCAAGCTTCACACCCTTCTTTGCCTCAATAGATAACGTTTTTTATCTCCACATATACCTCAACGCACTACTCACCTTTTTTCCTTCATCAATTCTATGATTAAACTCATCCTTCATAAATCCATCCGCTGACATGTCAACTCCCAAATATCTGAAAACATTCACTTCTTCCATACTTTTTCTCTCCAATTTGATATCCAATTTTTCTTTATCTAAATCATTTGATGCCCTCATCACCTTACTCTTTTCTATGTTCACTTTCAACTTTCTACCTTTACACACACTCCCAAACTCATTCACTAACCTTTGCAATTTTTCTTTATAATCTCCCATAAGCACAGTATCATCAGCAAAAAGTAACTGTGCCAATTCCCATTCTGTATTTGATTCCCCATAATTTAATCCCACCCCTCTCCCGAACACCCTAGCATTTACTTCTTTTACAACCCCATCTATAAATATATTAAACAACCATGGTGACATTACACATCCCTGTCTAAGACCTACTTTTACCAGGAAGTAGTCTACCTCTCTTCTACACACCCTAACCTGAGCCTCACTATCGTCATAAAAACTCTTTACAGCATTTAGTAACTTACTACATATTCCATATACTACTTGCAACATCTGCCACATTGCTCCCCTATCCACTCTATCATATGCCTTTTCTAAATCCATAAATGCAATGAAAATTTCCCTACCTTTATCTTAATACTGATCACATGTATGCTTCAATGTAAACACTTGATCTACACATCCCCTACCCACTCTACAACCTCCTTGCTCATCTGCAATTCTACATTCTGTCTTACCTCTAATTCTTTCAACAATAACCCTACCGTACACTTTTCCTGGTATACTCAGTAAACTAATTCCTCTATAATTTTTACAATCTCTTTTGTCCCCCTTCCCTTTACATAAAGGAACTATACATGCTCTCTGCAAATCCCTAGGTACCTTCCCCTCTTTCATACATTTATTAAACAAAAATACCAACCACTCTAACACTATATTCCCCCCTGCTTTTAACATTTCTGTCATGATCCCGTCAGTTCCAGCTGCTTTACCCCCTTTCATTCTACGTAATGCCTCGCACACCTCCCCTACACTCACATCCTGCTCTTCTTCACTCCTATAATAAACATTGTTATTGCAGAAATCCATTATACTGAGATTAGCTATATCAAAGTTTGTTATATTGAGGTCTGTTACACTGATGTTTGTTATATCAAGGAACATTATATTGAGGTTTGTTATACTATTGAGAATTTGCTTTATATTATTTCAACAATGTGTATCAGTACAGTGCATTTCTGAAAAGAGTTTAAAGTTAGAGTAGACATACTTGAGAAGAGTTAGAGAAGACATACCTGAGAAGAGTTAAAGTAGACGTACCTGAGAGCGGACGAGAGGCACATTAAGAAGAATATCTTCACTAGAATTATTGGTATTATTGGGCATCATGAGGGAAGCCTTGAGGTCACACAAGCCAGCGTTGTGCTGCGGTAACAAGCAGTGCACAAACCTCAGTTTACTTCGTCGTAAGTTCTCGATGATGCCATCCTGTAATAACAATGAAACATTATACTCTTATTCTCTATTTCAATAAGTTTATATTGAAAACCATAAGAACAACTGCTATTTATACTTGACTACAGTATATGCTATACAACAGATAATAATAGATAAGCACTACAGTAGGCCTACAGGTCAGGCTAGGTAGGTCCTGCTTACACTCATTTGAAGGCCCAGGAGAGGTACATCCTACTATATACAGTATTACACTTTCATAGTGGAAAAAGCTCAGTTTTTATTAACAAAATAGCATTATAACAATACACTATATTTAAGGTTTGAGGTAATAAGACTTCCAGAAATTAGGCTCTGGTAATTTCACTGCCAATATAAAACATATACTCTAACCCCTTGACTGTCGCAACCCCCAATCTTGAGGTGTCTCCTGGTGTCACAAAATTTCAAAAAAAAAAAAAAAAAAAAAAAAAAAAATTCTTATGAAATGATAGAGAATCTTTTCCCGATTGTAATGACACCAAAAAACCAAATTTGATGGAAAACTGACGGAATTACGCTTTCGCGAAGTTAGCGACGTCGGCGATATTTACAAATCGGCGATTTTGCCCACTTTGAGCCCTATTTTCAACTAATTCCACTGTCCCAGTCGACCAAACTCGTAGCTATTTCTTCAGAATTCCATTTCTTCTATCGATTGAGTACAAGAAACTGCCCATTTACCAATTTCAACTACCCAATAACGTGGTCAGAAATTTGCAATTTGGCCAATTTCACGAAAACTAAAAAATATGACAATTTCAAAATAAGGTGCAGAATGAACAATGCAGACATTCCTGGTTCTAAAATAACATTTTCTTTGTTCATCAGTCATGTCTCCAGGCCCCTCTGATATTACTCTTGCTTTCTATTTTGAATTTTTATTCAAACAAAAAACAGAAGATTTACTATTATGCAGACTACTGCAATACTGTAATAATTGTATAAATAACATCAACCCATTCATGACTGCATATTAGAATGGCTAGTTGGACATTTATTGGACAATGACATCATTTGTTTACTTTTGAACATCAGCAAAAATCAAACGTTTCCCCTACTTTGAGCTCCATTTCCAGGTTCTTTTTATAGTAAAATCAATCAAAATCACCTCTATTTCTATAATATGTTTTCCATTCTATCATCTGAGACCAAGAAAACGAGAATACAACCATAAATACTATAAAAAAATAGACCACAAAGTCGGCATTTTAATTAAAAAAAAAATGGTCGGAGTTTTTTTTTCTCATTATGCACTGCGTGCTCCAGGATTTTTTTTATATGGTGCACACTGACCACACAGACCCATTCTCTCACATGTGGACCTACCAGCTTTCTCCTTCTTGATTTGAAGCCGCTAGAATTTATGAGTATATATACGTCAAACACGGCACCTCGTAAGACATACATATACGACTGCGGCAGTTAAAGCGTTAATATAAGCTGGGCTTAAGTCCTGGAAGTGGAATGTATAGTGCCTGCACTCTAAAGGAAATGACAAAGTAAACTTACCAAGAGTCAAATTACCGTGGTCAAATAACCGGGAGTGAATTACTGGGAGTTCAACTACTGGTCACTTGTGTTTAAGAGTGTAAATACTCACTACAGTAAATTTAACTTGCAAGCAGACACTCTTTCGCTTAATGCCAGCTGTTCCTGTGGTGAAAGCTCTTCTGATTGATGAGGCTCTTCTTAATGACTGCGAGCCTTCAATCCCCACCACCGACCCACTGATGGTGTTGCTTACTGGACCACGACTAAACACGAAGAGTCTGCTTAAGGTTTCTCTGTAAATCATGGTAAAAGACTTTTTAGTTGAATCCCTATGAATAATCCTGTGCATAAAACTATGATTATTTTTAACACTGATGAATTTACAGAAAAGAACTGTTTTCAGCCAACTGTCACTTTAAACCCCAGCCATATCTACAGCATGTTACCATCTCCTGAATGCTGCAACAGTCAACTGAAGCCCAGGTGCCCATTTATTGCAAAGTGAAGAGAGGCAACAGGCATTAACAGATTTGTGAATGTGTCTTGATGCACCAAGGATTAAACCCAGGTTCTTCACTTGTAGTCCAAAGGTGCTACCACTAAGTTACCTGGAGTTTACCTGGAGGGAGTTCCGGGGTTCAACGCCCCCGCGGCCTGGTCTGTGACCAGGCCTCATGGTGGATCAGGGCATGATCAACCAGGCTGTTACTGCTGGCCGCACACAATCTAACGTACGAACCACAGCCCAGATGGTCAGGTACTGGCTTTAGGTGCTTGTCCAGTGCCTGCTTGAAGAGCTACCTTTTAGATGACGTTCAACCTTTTCGGTGTCAGTCCCGTTATATCACGGCTTTGAAGCCAGTGTTGGTCCCATAATATGATGCCATGAGCTCAGGTCACTCAGATAAGCTGAGTGGTAAAGTTGGGCCTAGATATGAGAGAATGGGTCTATGCAGTAAGTGTGCACCATATAAAAAATCCTGCAGCACGCAGTGCATAATGAGGAAACAACTGCAACTGTGTTTTTGGATTAAAACAGTGAATTTACAGTGTATTTTCGTATGGTGTTTATGGTTGTATTCTTGATTTCTCGGTCTCATTTCACAGAATGGAAGATATACTACATAACTAGAGATAATTTTGATTGCTTTCAGGACTGAAAGTAAGCTGAAATTGAGCTCAAAGTAGCAGAAATGTTTGATTTTTGATGTTCAAGAGTAAACAAAACAAAACAAGAAACCACCCAATCAACTGCTTCAATTACCCAATCAAGTGATCAGAAATTGGTAACTTGTCCAATTTCACAAAAATTTCAAAATATTCCAATTTCAAAATATGGTCCAGAATAAACAATGCAGGCATTACTGGCACTAAAGTAACATTTCCCCTGTTCATTAGTTCTCAGGCTTTACACATGAATTCCATTTTTAATTTTTATTCACAAAATAAAAAAAAAAAATTTACTGCTATGCATTATTGTAATAATTGTATAAATAACGTCAGTGCATTTGTGAATGCATATTAGATCAACCAGTTGGACACATATTGGACAAGTGGTGTGATTTGTTTACTTGGAATTATCTGCAAAAATCAAATACTTATGCTACTTTGAGCTCAATTTCAAGCTACTTTCAGTCCTGAAACCAATCAAAATTATCTTTATTTCTGCAAAATATCTTCCATTCTATCAAATGAGACCAAGAAACCATGAGTACAACCATAAAAGCCATATGAAAATACACCACAAAGTAGCTGTTTTAAACCAAAAACACAGTTTTTTCTCATTATACACTGTGTGTAGCAGGATTTTTTTTATATGGTGCACACTTACCACATAGCCCCATTCTCTCATATCTAGGCCTAAATTTACCGCTCACAGCTTATATGAGTGAGCTGAGCTCATGGCATAGCAGCACGGGACCTACACTGACTACAAAGCCACAGAATGGCATGGACACCGAAAGGGTTAAAAATGTTACATCATCTAAATGACAACAGTACGTTAAATCCCCCAAAATACTTTCATTTTAACATGCCAACCATCTCCTACTGAGGCTGCCTTCCACTTGTCTGCACTTATTCTCATGAGAAGTGTCAGTTTAAGTGGCTTACTTGTTGGATTCCTGTAGGAGTGCAGCAGCTTGTCTCATGACAGGGTTCTCACGTGATGCCTTGAGCCAGTGTTGGATGGAGTATGTGACAGGGTTGGTACCCTGGAAGTGCTGTAGTGTGAACTGGTCTGCAGCCGCTCCTTTCTTCAACAGTTGTGAGTACTCTGAAAAATACAACACTTACAAGTACTTTGACAAAATACATGTATAAGCCTATCTTTAAATACAGTATAAATGCTTTATATAAAAATATTAAATGACTGGCAGAATTTGATAACACTGTACTACAATATCTGATAAATACTGTATGCAAAATGAACTTACTCTAAGTCCATAACAATTATAGCTAGTAACACTTTCTTTTCTAATAACACACTATTTTCTAATAACACTTTTTTCTAATAACACTTTCTTTAAACCTATCAAAATAAAATATTCAGCACTGAAATTACCACATGTTAATTCAGTACTGGAATTACAGTGAACTGATTCAGTGCTGGAATTACAGTGTTAATCCAGTACTGGAATTACATTACACTGATTCACTGTTGGAATTAGTGTGCTGATTCAGCAATGGAATTACACTGCACTGATTCGGTACTGGAATTACATTACATTGATTCAACACTGGAAATACAGTGCATTGATTCAGCACTAGATAATACTACAGTGCACTGATTCAGTACTGGATAATATTAGTGTGTTGATTCAGCACTGGATAATTACTACAGTGCACTGATTCAGTACTTGATAATATTAGTGTGTGTTGATTCAGCACTGGACACAGACATGATAAAGGTCATACCTCTATCTCCATAATGAGCATAGAGTCTCTCCAAGAAGGACTGGTCAGATGCACCGGGAAATATTGCCTCTTCATCTAGCAGCCACAGCAGTCCTCGTCGGTCACTCTCCCTCAGGTCAATCTGAGAGGTTCGCACAACGCAGTTGGAAGATGCTTTGTCTATGAGTGCAATTAAGGGAGCCGGAGTACCAATTTCATCAGCTACATCACCATACTCGATGTTTTCCTGAAGAAAGATATTCATATGAAATTTTCCACTAAAATCTATTAGGAAGACCTATCAGAAAATACAACAACCCCTTAAAACATAACGTGTATAATACTGTGTCTTGTACAGTGGACCCACGACTAACGCTATTAATCCGTTCCTGAGAGCTCATCGTTAGTCAAAATTATGGTTAGTCAAGTTAATTTTCCCCATAAGAAATAATGGAAATCAAATTAATCCGTGTAGGACACCCCAAAGTATGAAAAAAAAAAATTGTTTTTTACCACATGAAATATTAATTTTAATACACACAAACTGAAGAAGACATGCACAGTTACATGACACTTACCTTTATTGAAGATCTGGTGATGATTGTTGGGATGGGAGGAGGGGAGAGTGTTGATGGTCTTAGTGTTTAGAAGGGGAATCCCCTTCCATTAGGACTTGAGGTGGCAAGTCCTTTTCCAGGGTTACTTCCCTTCCCTTTAAATCTCTCAAACCAACCTTTGCTGGCCTTAAATTCACTCACATCACCACTAGTTGCTGGCATTTTTTTCGTTAAATCGTCATGCAACTTCCTAGCCTTTTCACATATGATCGCTTGAGAGATGCTATCTCCTGCTATCTGTTTTTTGTTTATCCACACCAATAACAGTCTCTCAACATCTTCGAGTACTTGCAATCTCAGTCTCGAAAACATAGTTGCACCTTTGGCAAGAACAGCTTCCTTGATTGCCGTTTTCTTGGCCACAATAGTAGCGATGGTTGATTGGGGTTTTGTGTACAACCTGGCCAGCTCGGAGACACGCACTCCACTTTCATACTCACCAATGATCTCTTTCTTCATATCCATAGTAATTCTCACCCTTTTTGCTGTAGGGTTGGCACTAAAAGATTTCTTGGGGCCCATGGTGACTTATTTTGCAGGTGCAATCACTAAAAAGGCTGTGATAACATGAAATGTTCCGATTGTATGCTTGCAAGCGACCGTGGTGGCTGGCTGGCTTGTAAACACTGGCCAGAAGTAGACGCGTCTGATGGAACAAATAGTGTTGGTCGAGTTTTTTAGTGCTAGTCGAGGCAAAAATTTTGCGTTAAAATGTATCGCTAGTCGGATTTATCGTTAATCAATGCCATCGTTGGTCGAGGGTCCACTGTAGTACAATAAACTCTATGTAAGTTACAAATAGAGGAGTCTGTTCAAGTGTTTCTCAATAGCAAAAAACAAAAAATTTTATTGTCATATATAGTGATTACTGTACTAAAGTTCAACCTACATTAATCACTACACATGTTGGCAGAATTTTTAATGATGCAAAAACTGAACATTAAACAAAAAAAATCACTTGTAAGCCATGAGTTCAAACTCCACTCGTTCCATGATTTGTTCATCATTGTGTTATTACGATTTCATAAGTCATGACGAGTGAATGTTAAGAGAATACACTACTACTGTACACTTACCAATTGTTAGCACACACCAAATGAACAAGGAATAAATAATATGTACCTAGCTATGCATAAGTTGTGAAGAACTAACACTGTCTGTGCTTGTACATGTGTGTCCCACAACCTGCATGTATCTATGCTTGTGTTGCACATGTATGTTCCTCAACCTGCATGTATGTATGCTTGTGTTGTACATGTATGTTCCTACCTGCATGTATGTATGCTTGTGAACATCAAAATGGTATACAATACCAACAGGTTGTTAGGTAAGACACATATGCAACAGTTAGACAACTTTATTCCGAAATGTTTCGCCTACACAGTAGGCTTCTTCAGTCGAATACAGAAAGTAGGCAAGAACAGTAGAGATGTGAAGACGATGTAATCAGTCCATCACCCTTGTAGTCGTAGAATTTGAGGTTGTCAGTCCCTCGGCCTGGAGAAGTTCAGTTCCATAGTCAGGAACTATAGTTCCTGACTATGGAACTGAACTTCTCCAGGCGAGGGACTGACAACCTCAAATTCTACGACTACAAGGGTGATGGACTGATTACATCGTCTTCACATCTCTACTGTTCCTGCCTACTTTCTGTATTCGACTGAAGAAGCCTACTGTGTAGGCGAAACATTTTGGAATAAAGTTGTCTAACTGTTGCATATGTGTCTTACCTAACAAACATGTATGCTTGTGTTGAGTACTCAACCAACACAAAAATTTGAAAAACTAATTTCTTTCTTTCTTTCAACACACCGGCCGTATCCCACCGAGGCGGGGTGGCCCAAAAAGAAAAACAAAAATTTCTCTTTTTAAATTTAGTAATTTATACAGGAGAAGGGGTTACTAGCCCCTTGCTCCCAGCATTTTAGTTGCCTCTTACAACACGCATGGCTTATGGAGGAAGGATTCTGCTCCACTTCCCATGGAGATAAGAGGAAATAAACAAGAACAAGAACTAGAAAGAAAATAGAAGAAAACCCAGAGGGGTTTGTATATATATGCTTGTACATGTATGTGTAGTGTGACCTAAGTGTAAGTAGAAGTAGCAAGATGTACCTGAAATCTTGCATGTTCATGAGACAGAAAAAATGACACCAGAAATCCTACCATCATGTAAAACAATTACAGGCTTTCGTTTTACACTCACTTGGCAGGACGGTAGTACCTCCCTGGGCGGTTGCTGTCTACCAATCTACTACTTAGGAAAAACTAATTTATTTATTTATTTATGATGTATAATATACTAGTAGTAGGTTGGTATATGTAGTAGGTTGGTAGACAGCAACCACCCAGGGAAGTACTACCGTCCTGCCAGATGACTGTGAAACAAAAACCTGTAATTGTTTTGCATGATGGTAGGATTGCTGGTTTCTTTTTCTGTCTCATAAACACGCTAAGATAACAGGGATATCTTGCTACTCCTACTAACACTTTGGTCACACTTCACAGACACGCACATGCATATATATATATACATACATCTAGGTTTTTCTCCTTTTTCTAAATAGCTCTTGTTCTTTTTTATTTCTTCTATTGTCCATGGGGAAGTGGAAAAGAATCTTTCCTCCGTAAGCCATGCGTGTCGTATGAGGCGACTAAAATGCCGGGAGCAATGGGCTAGTAACCCCTTCTCCTGTATACAATTACTAAAAAAGAGAAGAAAAACTTTATAAAACTGGGTTGCTTAAATGTGCGTGGATGTAGTGCGGATGACAAGAAACAGATGATTGCTGATGTTATGAATGAAAAGAAGTTGGATGTCCTGGCCCTAAGCGAAACAAAGCTGAAGGGGGTAGGAGAGTTTCAGTGGGGGGAAATAAATGGATTAAATCTGGAGTATCTGAGAGAGTTAGAGCAAAGGAAGGGGTAGCAGTAATGTTAAATGATCAGTTATGGAAGGAGAAAAGAGAATATGAATGTGTAAATTCAAGAATTATGTGGATTAAAGTAAAGGTTGGATGCGAGAAGTGGGTCATAATAAGCGTGTATGCACCTGGAGAAGAGGGAATGCAGAGGAGAGAGAGAGATTTTGGGAGATGTTAAGTGAATGTATAGGAGCCTTGAACAAGTGAGAGAGTAATTGTGGTAGGGGACTTGAATGCTAAAGTAGGGAGAAACTTTTAGAGAGGGTGTGGTAGGTAAGTTTGGGGTGCCAGGTGTAAAATGATAATGGGAGCCCTTTGATTGAACTTTGTATAGAAAGGGGTTTAGTTATAGGTAATACATATTTTAAGAAAAAGAGGATAAATAAGTATACACGATATGATGTAGGGCGAAATGACAGTAGTTTGTTGGATTATGTATTGGTAGATAAAAGACTGTTGAGTAGACTTCAGAATGTACATGTTTATAGAGGGGCCACAGATATATCAGATCACTTTCTAGTTGTAGCTACACTGAGAGTAAAGGTAGATGGGATACAAGGAGAATAGAAGCATCAGGGAAGAGAGAGGTGAAGGTTTATAAACTAAAAGAGGAGGCAGTTAGGGTAAGATATAAACAGCTATTGGAGGATAGATGGGCTAATGAGAGCATAGGCAATGGGGTCGAAGAGGTATGGGGTAGGTTTAAAAATGTAGTGTTAGAGTGTTCAGCAGAAGTTTGTGGTTACAGGAAAGTGGGTGCAGGAGGGAAGAGGAGCGATTGGTGGAATGATGATGTAAAGAGAGTAGTAAGGGAGAAAAAAGTTAGCATATGAGAAGTTTTTACAAAGTAGAAGTGATGCAAGGAGGGAAGAGTATATGGAGAAAAAGAGAGAGGTTAGAGAGAGTGGTGAAGCAATGTAAAAAGAGAGCAATGAGAGAGTGGGTGAGATGTTATCAACAAAATTTTGTTGAAAATAAGAAAAAGTTTTGGAGTGAGATTAACAAGTTAAGAAAGCCTAGAGAACAAATGGATTTGTCAGTTAAAAATAGGAGAGGAGAGTTATTAAATGGAGAGTTAGAGGTATTGGGAAGATGGAAGGAATATTTTGAGGAATTGTTAAATGTTGATGAAGATGGGAAGCTGTGATTTCGTGTATAGGGCAAGGAGGAATAAACATCTTGTAGGAGTGAGGAAGAGCCAGTTGTGAGTGTGGGGGAAGTTCGTGAGGCAGTAGGTAAAATGAAAGGGGTAAGGCAGCCGGGATTGATGGGATAAAGATAGAAATGTTAAAAGCAGGTGGGGATATAGTTTTGGAGTGGTTGGTGCAATTGTTTAATAAATGTATGGAAGAGGGTAAGGTACCTAGGGATTGGCAGAGAGCATGCATAGTTCCTTTGTATAAAGGCAAAGGGGATAAAAGAGAGTGCAAAAATTATAGGGGGATAAGTCTGTTGAGTGTACCTGGTAAAGTGTATGGTAGAGTTATAATTGAAAGAATTAAGAGTAAGACGGAGAATAGGATAGCAGATGAACAAGGAGGCTTTAGGAAAGGTAGGGGGTGTTGGACCAGGTGTTTACAGTGAAACATATAAGTGAACAGTATTTAGATAAGGCTAAAGAGGTCTTTGTGGCATTTATGGATTTGGAAAAGGCGTATGACAGGGTGGATAGGGGGGCAATGTGGCAGATGTGCAAGTGTATGGTGTAGGAGGTAGGTTACTGAAAGCAGTGAAGAGTTTTTACGAGGATAGTGAGGCTCAAGTTAGAGTATGTAGGAAAGAGGGAAATTTTTTCCCAGTAAAAGTAGGCCTTAGACAAGGATGTGTGATGTCACCGTGGTTGTTTAATATATTTATAGATGGGGTTGTAAGAGAAGTAAATGCGAGGGTCTTGGCAAGAGGCGTGGAGTTAAAAGATAAAGAATCACACACAAAGTGGGAGTTGTCACAGCTGCTCTTTGCTGATGACACTGTGCTCTTGGAGATTCTGAAGAGAAGTTGCAGAGATTGGTGGATGAATTTGGTAGGTGTGCAAAAGAAGAAAATTAAAGGTGAATACAGGAAAGAGTAAGGTTATGAGGATAACAAAAAGATTAGGTGATGAAAGATTGAATATCAGATTGGAGGGAGAGAGTATGGAGGAGGTGAACGTATTCGATATTTGGGAGTGGACGTGTCAGCGGATGGGTCTATGAAAGATGAGGTGAATCATAGAATTGATGAGGGAAAAAGAGTGAGTGGTGCACTTAGGAGTCTGTGGAGACAAAGACTTTGTCCTTGGAGGCAAAGAGGGGAATGTATGAGAGTATAGTTTTACCAACGATCTTATATGGGTGTGAAGCGTGGGTGATGAATGTTGCAGCGAGGAGAAGGCATGGAGGCAGTGGAGATGTCATGTCTGAGGGCAATGTGTGGTGTGAATATAATGCAGAGAATTCGTATAGTTTGGAAGTTAGGAGGAGGTGCGGGATTACCAAAACACTGTTGTCCAGAGGGCTGAGGAAGGGTTGTTGAGGTGGTTCGGACATGTAGAGAGAATGGAGCGAAACAGAATGACTTCAAGAGTGTATCAGTCTGTAGTGGAAGGAAGGCGGGGTAGGGGTCGGCCTAGGAAGGGTTGATGGGAGGGGGTAAAGGAGGTTTTGTGTGCGAGGGGCTTGGACTTCCAGCAGGCATGCGTGACGTGTTTGATAGGAGTGAATGGAGACAAATGGTTTTTAATACTTGACGTGCTGTTGGAGTGTGGGGCAAAGTAACATTTATGAAGGGATTCAGGAAACCGGGAGGCCGGACTTGAGTCCTGGAGATGGGAAGTACAGTGCCTGCACTCTGAAGGAGGGGTGTTAATGTGGGAGTTTAGAAACTGTAGTGTAAAACACCCTTCGGCAAGACAGTGATGGAGTGAATGATGGTGAAAGTTTTCTTTTTCGGGCCACCCTGCCTTGGTGGGAATCGGCCGTGTGATAATAAAATAAATATACTACAAAACTAAATTTCACTTCTTACTTCATATTTTAGATGATCCCCACTTACTAACTTATTAAAGACCTGAACAAAAGGTTCGTTAAAGCAAGTTGAATTTTCTAACATACACCAATTTTAGAACCTGAGATGCAAGCCACAACAATAAAAAGGTAAAAATTACTAATAATTTATTTCTTTTCTGCAGTATACAGGTAATGAGGTTACATAAAATAAAATTTCAAATTCACAATAATTTTTTAAAAATTTAAAGAATGAAAATTTTACATTCTAAATTTACATTTTACAGTCCAGATTTTAATTTTATATTAAGAATTTTCATTTTAAATTTTGAATTGCAATTTTAAATCAGAATTAAGATTTTTTATTAAAAAAAAAAAACTGCATATAACAGTATAAAAGCAAAATAATGATTTTTCAAATCTCCCCTGAGCATATCTATCATTTGGCAGTAAATGTGGTGTCAGGGGAAGAGCATCTGGAAGCGCTCTTGTGTGTAGTTGTGGCAGAGATCCTGGAAGGTCGCCCCAGAGGTTCTGCCACACGACGCTGGGTTCTGGAAACCTGGAGCATCCACCACCAAGATGGAGCTGCTGGTGTGAGCTGACGTTGATATACATCTGAAATCATGAACTCAAAGTCATAAAGAATGACTGTCAGTGAATAAAGAAAAGAATAAGCAGCGACTTGAACTATGGTCCTGACATGGAGCAAGCCCAATGCTGTACCACCAAACCGTTACAAACAATATCTGGCCACAGAGGGTATATACTGGCTAAGAATGAGGTGTAATACTAGTGGTAGTAGTAGCAGTAGTAGTAGTAATACTGGTATAGTACAAATCCAAGGCATTAAAGTTGAAAATAGGAATTTGGTAATTATCCTAGTATACAAACTGCCATCAGGAAGACAGATAGCTATCAGGATAGACTAGAAAATTCCACACCTAATATTTTACTCCTCAGAGATTTTAATCTCTCTCATGTAAAATGGTGCAATGAACTGTTATACCAGAAAGATCTCCAGGAAGCACTCTAGCTCAACAGGCACATACCAGGAAACTAATGAGGCTTTGTGAAAAGTACTCATTGAACCAACAGATAATTGATCCCACTAGAAATGAAAATACCCTGGATTTGACATTCACAAACAATGAGAAGCCAATCAGAGACATAACAGTTACAAAAACAATATGCTCTGATCACAGCATCATAGAAGTTCAAACAAGTATTTACTCAGGATTAGGGAACTGCATCACTAATGTTAAAGACGGCATGTTCAGTAAGTTTAATTTTAACATCCAAAGAATTGACTGGGAAAAAATAAACCAAGGGCTATCAGACATATCCTGGGAATCAAACATGAGCACCCTAAATCCCCACCACTGCCCAGAGAAGCTGAATACCGAAGCATACAAGGTATGTATGAAGCACGTACCACTGAGGAAACCCAGATAAAGATAAGATATAGAGTGAGAGTGTAGGAGATGGTACAGAAGAAGAAAATGGGTTACTGAATTGCTTAAAAACAAAAATATGTTGCAACAGTGGAAAGATAGTCTTTGCCGAGGGATCACTGAATTAGAGTAAAAACTTAGGGTGTCATACCTAACAGAAGACGTACAAAGGGAACAAAGGGCCATACAGGATATTGCAAGAAACCCAAAATATTTCTATTCCTATGCAAAATCCAAGCTAAGAACTACCTGTAGAATTGAACCATTACTGAGAGGAGATTCGTATACTGACGATGAACAGGAAATGAGTGAAATCCTAAAAGAACAGTATGAGTCGGTGTTCAGCAACCCACTAAATGACAGCAAGGTAGAAAATGCAGAAATATTTTTCACTCCAGAAGAAGGCTGCACAGACCAGCTAACTGACATTTGTACAAATCCCATAGATTTTGAAAAAGAAATAGACGACATGCCCATTCGCTCAGCACCTGGATCAGATTCATGGAATGCCCTATTTATAAAGAAGTGCAAAGTACCACTAGCACGAGCCCTCAGTATTCTTTGGAGAAAGAGCTTAGATCTAGGTGAAATACCAGAGATCTTAAAGAGTGCAGACACAACTCCTTTGCATAAGGGAGGTAGTAGAGCACTAGCTAAAAATTACAGACCAGTAGCCCTAACTCCTCACATCATAAAAAACATTGAAAGAGTGGTGAGATGACAGATTGCAAATTTCATGGACCAGCACAACCAGCATAGCCAGAACCAGCATGGTTTTAGAGCAGGACGATCATGCCCGTCACAGCTGCTGAACCATTATGACAGAATTAGTAATGATTCAAGGCACTTGCGTCTGCAGAAATTAGTTTCTTTGATCACTAATTGGGCATCCCTGAATTTCATGAGATGATTGGTGGAATTCCGGTGCTGTACGCAAGCGTTGTTCAAGTCCTGTAATGAACACATTTATGCCTGTAGGAACGATAACTTGAACAACGCCTGCGTACAACACTGGAATTCCACCAATCATCTCATGAAATTCAGGGACGCCCAATTAGTGATCAAAGAAACTAATTTCTGCAGACGTAAGTGCCTTGAATCATCACTAATCACCATTTCTAATACAATTAAGCAAAACAAAAAGGCAGCTTCACCATCTCTGAAGTCTTAGCAAGAATCCTCCTGAAAACAGTAAACCCTGCCATCCCATAGTCTCTCCTGCTAATACTAACACAAGCACATTACAGAGGATGAACTTTGAAACAGGCCTTCTCTAATCCAGCCTCCAACAAAAATATTTGTCTAACCTATTTTTATGTTACCCAAGTACATAATAGCTTTTATATCCTTTTACTCATGTGCAAGTTAACTGTTCTTCCATATTGTATTACTACTACAACTTACATCACTACTACTATTACTACCACTAGTACTGCACCTCACTCTAAGCCTATATATACCCTCTGTTCCATGTACTGTTTGTAATGGCTTGACAAAGCTCCTGGAGAGTGAAACATTGCCAAAATAAAATGTCACATTAGTTGCACTTGTGTCCTTTTACTTTACAGACACACACATGATGAGCAAACTAAATGTAAAGTAGTATGTGGTTGGACTTATGATTATTGTCTTGAACACTATGTACTTGATTATGTATCTAATTTATGAAGAATATATTGACAGACAGTATAATAACCTATGTGACATATCAAGGCATCTTATTAAGGAAAATAAGTTACCAGACATATTAAGCAAACATCGTAAATTTACACATAACAGATGAAACATAAAATGCAGCTATGTATCCAGATGAACTCCTGTTAAATCTTTTGGGGTCTAGTTCTTAGGCCTTTCGTATATCCATGTACCCTGGCACCACTGTCCGTATTATGGATACGGGGTGCACAAACTGGCCACATCTAAAAAAGAAAGGAATTTACTACTGTAGAGCATAAGAATATACACTGACTAACCTATTGATGAGTGCTACAATAGCATTGAAGGCTTCACTATAAAGACCCGTTGCCATGCCCTCCAGAGCTTCTACACCTTCAGGACGCTCGGTTGGTCTCTCTGTCGGTGACGCAGTTCTGTACCAAAAACCAAACCATCAAGTTTCAATCATAAGAACGTTAAAAATTAACATTTAATCATGTGATTATTACACACTAAATTACATTTTACAAAGAATACAAACCAAAAACAGTAATGTAAAAAGCTGTTTAATAAAGGGAAATATTACATTGATACTATATTCTACCAATATAATTTGCAATACTGAACACAAACTTCATTCTAAATAATTTCTCACCTGGGAAACAAAATGATCATTGTAAAACATTTTCACTTCCTTCCACATCAAAAATGTTTAATAAAAATTACTTTCCATTTTTTTGTGAATAATTATATTTCAGATTAACATAATTAAATCACAATTGCAAACACACAATGATTAGCGGATGCTGACTGCCAGTGCACACACAAATACAGTTTGAAGGGTGCATGTACATATCATTATGGTCAGATTTAAGGGTGAACATACATGAAATATGACATAGGTTACTGAAAGCAGTGAAAAGTTTTTACGAGGATAGTAAGGCTCAGATTAGAGTATGTAGAAGAGAGGGAGATTATTTCTCAGTAAAAGTAGGCCTTAGACAAGGATGTGTGATGTCACCATGGTTGTTCAATATATTTAAAGATGGGGTTGTAAGAGACGTGAATGCTCAGGTGTTGGCAAGAGGCCTGGGGTTAAAAGATAAAAAATTTAACACAAACTGGAAGATGTCACAGTTGCTCTTTGCTGATTACACTATGCTTCTGGGAGATTCTGAAAAGAAGTTGCAGAGGTTGGGGGATGAGTTTGGTAGGGTATGTAAAAGAAGAAAATCAAAAGTGAATACAGTGGACCCCGCTTTACGATCAGCTCCCAATGCGGCCAATTATGTAAGTGTATGTAAGTGCGTTTGTACGTGTATGTTTGGGGGTCTGAAATGGACTAATCTACTTCACAATATTCCTTATGGGAACAAATTCGTTCAGTACTGGCACCTGAACATACTTCTGGAATGAAATAATATCGTAAACCGGGGGTCCACTGTATAGGAAAGAGTAAGGTAATGAGGATAACAAAAAAATTAAGTAACAAAGGATTGGATATCAGGTTGGAAAGAGTATGAAAGAGGCGAACGTATTCAGACATTTAGGAGTGGATGTGTCAACAGATGGGTCTATGAAAGATGAGGTGAATCATAGAAATGACGAAGGGAAAAAGGTGAGCGGTGCACCGAGGAGTCTGCGGAGACAAAGAACTTTGTCCATGGAAGCAAAAAGAGTATAGTTATACCAATGTTCTTATATGGGTGTAAAGCATGGGTGGTGAATGTTGCAACAAGGAGAAGGCTGGAGGCAGTGGAGATGTCATGTCTGAGGGAAATGTGTGGTGTGAATATAATGCAGAGAATTTGTAGTTTGGAGACTAGGAGGTGGTGCAGGATTACCAAAACTATTATCAAGAGGGCTGAGGAGGGGTTATTGAGGTGGTTCAGACATGTAAAGAAGATGGAACAAAATAGAATGACTTCAAGAGTGTATAAATCTGTAGTGGAAGGAAGGCACGGTAGAGGTAGGCCTAAGAAAGGTTAGAGGGAGGGGGTAAAGGAGGTTTCGTGTGCAAGCCACTTGGACTTCCAGCAAGCATGCGTGTGCATGTTAGATAGGAGCAAATGGAGACAAATGGTTTTTAGGACTTGACATGCTGTTGGAGTGTGAGTAGGGTAATATTTATGAAGGGATTCAGGGAAACTGGCAGGCTGGACTTGAGTCCTAGAGATGAGAAGTACAGTGCCTGCACTCTGAAGGAGGGGTCTTAATATTGCTGTTTTATAACGGAAGTGTAAGCGCATCTCTGGCAAGACAGTGATGGAGTGAATGATGGTGAAAGTTTTTTCTTTTTTGGGACACCCTACCTTGGTGGGAAACGGCCAATGTGTTATTAAAAAAACCATACATATCATCATAGTCAGATTTAAGCGTGCACGTACATATCGTTATGGTCAGTTTTAAGGGTGCACATACATATTATGGTCGGGTTTGATGGTGCTTCATACAAAAAATTAGGTTTAATTCTCTAGGAACTAGCAATCAAAGTGAGTGTATAAGTCGGTCAATTAAGAGACGGCAGAAGGTGACACACGGGGTATTATTTAATTTGTTAACCTGTAAACTCTTAAAATTAACTTACACAGCAGCACTCTGGCACTGCACACCAGCACTCTAGCACTACACACCAGCACTCTAGTACTGTACAGCAGCACTCTAGCACTGCACACCAACACTTCAGCACTGCACACCAATATTCTAGCACTGTACAGCAGCATTCTAGCACTGCACACCAGCACCTCACATCAAACTAACATATTTTACAGAGGAAATAAATTATTCATTAACAAGCTGATGATAAGACACATGTACAACACCTGTGAAATACACATGTCTTATTCATCAAAATTTTATTGCTGAAGATGCCCAAAGGTAATTTTGGGACACAGTTAAGGAGAGTGAAAAAACACTGCACAGTTTTAAAGTAAGGATAAGAGAAAGAAACACTGCACAGGTTTAAGGTATCAACTATGGGAGGCCCTCAGTTAAGATGCGATCAGTTAATACATTTCTTTTAACATTTTTCTGAAAGATTAAGTATTATTAACATGTTGTGATTTTCAGTGCAAGTTTAAGGGAAAAATAAAACACACCATAGGATCTTTTCCTTCTGCCTCACAATTAGCCTATGATGAGGCCAGTGGTTTGTTTTATTTAGCAGAACTCTTAATACAAACAAGCACACATGCCAAGCATCCCATACTATACTCGATCGTGTGTTAATGAATCAATTTTTGATCTTTTCATCAGCCCATCTTGTCTCTTAAATAGTAACCACAGCTCAAAGAGTTATGTGAGTGATGCTGGAAGTTTTGGCACTTTGAACAAAAAACTGATATACAGTGGAACCTCGGTTTTTTAAATTTCATTCATTCCAGATGTTGATTTGACAACCAAAATCAACAACAATCAAAGCAATTTTTCCCATAAAGAATAATATAAACAGAATTAATCTGTTCTAGACCCCATATGACAATGTAATAATATACGTACAGTCTTTCATCACTTAACGCTGGAGTTCCGTTCCTAAGACCACATCGGTAAACGAATTCGTCGCTAATCATGGAGCATACTATAATGGTAGTGGGTTTGTGTCAACGATCTTTGATATTGCTTTAATGTCACCTTTGCACCATTAACCCTTAAACGGTCCAAAGAGATTGACGTTCAAATTCGAAGTGCTACAAAAGTAGGAGGAGGTGCAGGATTACCAAAACTGTTGTCCAGAGGGCTGAGGAAGGGTTGCTGAGGTGGTTCAGACATGTAGAGAGAATGGAGTGAAACAGAATGACTTCAAGAATGTATCAGTCTGTAGTGGAAGGAAGGCGGGGTAGGGGTCGGCCTAGGAAAGGTTGGAGGGAAGGGGTAAAGGAGGTTCTGTGTGCGAGGGGCTTGGACTTCCAACGGACATGCTTGAGCGTGTTTGATAGGAGTGAATGGAGACAAATGGTTTTTAATACTTGACGTGCTGTTGGAGTGTGAGCAAGGTAACATTTATGAAGGGATTCAGGGAAACCGGCAGGCCGGACTTGAGTCCTGGAGATGGAAAGTACAGTGCCTGCACTCTGAAGGAGGGGTGTTAATGTTGCAGTTTAAAAACTGTAGTGTAAAGCACCCTTCTGGCAAGACAGTGATGGAGTGAATGATGGTGAAAGTTTTTCTTTTTCGGGCCACCCTGCCTTGGTGGGAATCGGCCAGTGTGATAATAATATAATAAAACAAAAAAAAGTAGATAAAACTTTTTTTACACGTTTTCAAATGTGAACAAAAAAGAAGATCTACATTTTTTTACATACTTTCAGATGTTGAAAAAACGTATATATACATTTGGACCATTTAAGGGTTAACCCTTTGACTGTTTACGCCATATAAATACGTCTTACGCACCACTGTTTCTGACGTATCTATACGCATAAATTCTAGCGGTTTCAAATCAAGCGGGAACACCATCTTGGTAGTCCATTTTCACCATGCCTCGTAGTAGGAAGTACCTCACTCCTCGGCGCATTGGAGGTCTTTTGTTCCCAAGTGATAGCTCTACAAGCGATGAAAGTGTCAGTGACAGTGAATTCCATGGTTTTCAAGTGAGTGTGACCGAAAAAAGTGCCCAGGATGATGTAATTAGTGATGAAAACCCAGATGACCCACGACCTTCCACCTCTGGTGGTGGGCTGGCTTGTTCACGTTCACATTCACCTGTACCAGGACGAAAGAGGAAACTATTTGGCCGTGTACAAGACCCAGATGTTAGCAGTGAACGTGATAGCGATAGTGCGAAGGCTTACTCAGCCCTGTAACAACTTCAGACAGTATTACCAAGGCTGGCTCCTCCTCAGGAAAATTAGTGAATAGAAAAAGAAATAATAACAGTCAAACACAAACACTTTATTATATAGAAAATATAAAACACTTAAATATGAAATATTAATCCTACTTTAAAGAAAATGAAAAATAAAAAATAAAAATGAAAATAAATTCAACGCTAATATTTAGGGGGGTTTTGTTGGTGAATGCTTGTTTTTGAAACAAGCCTTCCGTTGATGGGGGGGGTGCAGGTGTCGATAAAAACCCACCGGCTGTTTTCACGGTCATCTGAATCTCAGTCTAGTGATGGAAAGCGGGTTTTTTTTTTCCACTGAATGATGAGGGGTTATATCCTGCACTTATAAGGTCCCCCGGGGTAATTAAAACCAAAAAGGGGAAGTTCAGGACTTAGTCCATCCCCATCAGTTCTGCTTTTGTTTGGCAGGTGACCCTCTCTGTCACCAAGCTGGAAAGATAGACGGTTCCCCACTCTTAAAAACACTTCCAGATGAGTACATCCAAAAGATTGGGTGTTTTTCAACAGAAACCTAGAGCAAGATGAAAGGCCAAAGTTTATTATGGTCAAAAGTGAAGCTTTAAACCAATAAATTAGAATACAGGGGCT